ATTTTCGGAGCCGTCGGCCGTGTGCCTCGGTTCGGGACCGCTTAACTACCTCTGTTTGCTCTGATTTTTGGCACACACCATGTTTCCTCTCCTTAGAGGGACACCGTGGCCCAGGAGACCACCTTCGTGGTCGCACACCACTTTCGATGCTTAATAGTCAGTTTTTTGGGCCCCCGGCTGCGCGTTTTGGCCCCCGAACCTTCGTTTCGCATCGGTGTGGGTTCATTTTTGGCATGGACCCTAGTTTCATTGTTAGGAAGGTGGTAGTAGGGTGGTGACCACCTTTTCTTCTTGGAGACCACCTTTCTCCGATCGGCCGATTTTTCTTGACAGGTAAGTGGTCTCCCTCACTTTTGAGCCACAATTTCTGGTCTCCCATACCACCATTGAGTTGCATTCACCTGGGAGACCACAAATATGGGTAGGCCGACCACTTTTTCAGCTTGACCCTTTTGAACCTGGTCGGCCGACCAAGCCTTCTGCTTTTTGGTCTCCCTGAATGCAATCCAGTTGTGCCAGCTGGGAGGCATTTGCTCCATCCTCCGAGGTTTGACCCTCTTGTTTTGGCTTCTTAAAGAAACTTGGTCCTTTACTCTTAGCTTCTAAGAGAAGCTTGACCTTTTGTTTAACTTCTTGAGGAAGCTTGACCCCTTTGGTCTAGCTTCCTCAAGAAGCTTGACCCTTTTGGTTTAGCTTCCTTTAGAAGCTTGGCCCCTTTGCTCCAAGCTTCTAAGAGAAGCCTTGGACCTCTTCTTCTATAAGAGAGACCCTCCTCTCCACTTGCAAGGGTTGAGATTTTTGTATCTAAAGCTTATACAACTCTCTCCCTTTATCTCTCTATATTGCCTTCAAAAAGTCCCTTGTTCTTGCACCATTGCCCTACACCTCCAAGCACAACACCTCCACCATCACTCTAAGCACCTTGGAGCTATTTTTCAGAGGTTGAAAGCTTGCTACATTGGTCCAGAAGCTGCTGGTTCTCTTCTCTACAAGAGTAACACTTGTTTCCCTCTTTTTGACACTATTTTGCTTCATAGCTTAGCTCTATTTGCAAGCATTTTTGGGCTTCATCATAAACTGAAAAAAGTCTTGTTTTGATCTTCTAAACATGTTTTTTAAGACCATTTTCATGTTGGGGGTGATCTACCCCCTTGCATGCTTCATTTCTCTTTGTTTTGAGCCATGCATTAGGGCCTTTGTGTTGACCTTTTTTGGCCTTTTTGACCACTGAAATCTAGTGGATTTTTAGTGGTTATTATATGTTTTTGAGCATCAAAATCAGAGAGGGGTGACCCTCTCACCCCTTGTTTTGTTTACTAGCTTTGTTGGCCTTACAAAGGAGCCCCTATTTGCATGTTTCAAAGCCATGTTTCAGACCACTTTTTGTGAGTTTTGTGACCTGCATAGGCTCTATCCAGAGCCCTTTTTGCCATGTTGAATGTCTATTATGTATGTGTAGAGTAATCCTCTTCAAGGCCTTCCAAAGGAGCCTTTACTTGCATGCTTCCTAGACTCATTTCAGGCCCTTTTTAGTGAGTTTTAGGGCCCTCATAACCTCAATCCATAGGTAGTTTTGCCATTTTGTGTGTCCATCATACATGTGTAGAACAACCCTCTCATTGGCCTTTCAAAGGAACACTTCATTCTAACATGTGTTGACTGAGTTTCAGTGGGTTTTTTGTCATATTTTGGTATGCCATGTTTCTATTTTTGGTTGGTTTGGTGGCCCCTCATGTGCTTCATATACATGTAGTGTAAACCATGCTTACTAGCCTATGTTACATGTTGTTTTGGCCCTTCATGTTAGCACTTTTTGGCCATGCCTTAAACTAATTTTGTGCATGTTTTGGACTGCCTTAACTTTGTTTTTGGGTCTCATGGTCTAATGATGCTTGTTTTGCATGCTTGTAGTTCAATATCCATGCCTAGCTTTGAGATTTGAGGTCTATTGCATGCATATACTGAGGTGTTTTCATGCTTTGGGGTCATTATACATCATATTTCAGAGCATATATGAATGTCATGTTCCCATGATTTCCACTCTTTAAATGTGTTTGAGAGTTGTGCATAAATGCCTCGTTTTTGGACCATTGCATGAGGTTCGTTTCTTTGCATGTTGAGTCATCATTTTGGGCCATTTTTCCATTGTTTCAGACCTGCCTAGGGTCTATTTGGGGCTGGTTTTGCCATTTATACATTGCTTTGTGTACCTCTAGTGTAACCCGCTTCACTAGTTTCGGTATTCGAGCCATCTTGCATGCATTGTGTGACATATTTGCATGATTTGGGACCATTATACATTATGTTTCAGAGTTGGAAAATGTGTGTTTGCATGCCATACTTCATCCTTTGCCATGCTTAGTTAGAGTTGCATGTTGTGCCTTAGGATCGGTCCTTTGCATCCATGCATGTTTGCATGTATTTCAGTTGTCTCATTTCCATCATATGGCCACTGATGTGAGTGTGGCTGAGGTCCACTCGTATTGGTGTAAGTCTATCTTGCATTTGTATATGTCATTTAGTACGTACATTGTGTATGCCATTTTAGCCAATAGCATTGCGTATGTTACGTTGCATGTTAGTCGCATTGTGTATGCCATCTCATTGCTTTGTGTTTGGAGTAGGGTTTAGTCCGAACACGGGAAACGAGGGATGTTTCGTACTCCGAGTGACGAAACGTGCTTCGATTCTCGGTCGCCGACACTCTTGACTGTCCATGATGGAGTTATTGGCTTTACTTGCTTATATGTGCATTCATTTCTCATCGAGTCGTGCAATTCGACTTCTCGGCCATCATGCATCGAGATGCGTGATTGGTGGCACGAGGATCGAGGACTACACTCTCTTGAGCTTGTGCAAGGACGGGGAGAGTGGTCATGCATACATTTGTTGAAAATACATTGCCTTTTCTCTCTCTTGCCTTTGTTGCAGAAAAACCAGAAACCAGAGGTGGAAACTGGTCAGCCGACCAGATTTTCTGGCAGACCGACCACCCCCTTTGGTCTCCACTACAAAGGGTGGTCGGCAGGTGGTCTCCCATGCCAATAATTGGTCGGTGGCCTTCCCAAGGTGGAGTTTCAGCCTTCTAGAGCTTGTGCAAGTTTCTGAGATCAATTGCAAACAAAGGCGAGGCAAGGCGTCGCGATGAAATTTCCCGACGAGGCGACCCGAGTATGCATGCATCCTTCATCATTCGGAACAGAGCTGAGGCAGTCCATTACATGTAGCATAGCATGCTAGGTTACCTTGCTTACCTAATTCATTTGTTAAGTAATTAGTATTGTGTAATAATTCGTTATTTATTTTTGTTGTGTAATATTCTTTCAGACCCTCCGAGAGAGGGCCAATTATTGTAATAAGTGTGCATGTGTGTGATGTATGTCTTCCAACCCCATGTCTTTCTCCCTTTTATTTACTAGCTTATGATGCTTAGTTTAGGGCATGTTTCAATTAGCATACTTATGATAGCATGTTTGCATTCATTCATCTGTCTTGCATGCACCGAGCTCGGCGCATCATACTAACTGTATTGTATTCCAATTCCAAGTTGAATATGTGCATCAATTGTTGCATTTCACATGCCATCTTTAGAATAGCCGGGCCTATTGTAGTTACATTCTTGCATGTGTTACATTAAGCATTTCAGCATAGTTAGGATCATGCATGGATTTCTAACATAGCTTCTGTTTTGGCTTGGAGTACGTGGTAAGTGTTTATGCTTTAGCATCCTTGCATGTGTGTGAGTGACTACCATGATAGCATGCTTACCATGAGGCTATGTGCTTATGTGATATACCTGCCTGAATGCCTGTGGGTGAAGGTTGGATTATCTGAATTGGAATAATGCATTGACTGTGAGTTTTAAGCCCACTTGAGAGTGGCAAACCATCACGTTTTCTAAGCCCACCCGGGCTGGCAAATCCACGTCTTAGCCTACTTGCGGGTAGCACCATCAAACCATTTTCAAAATAAACAAACATGAAATGTGTTGTTCCAATTCAAGCAATCCAGTCTATACTTGTATGTTGTGCGCATCACGTAGTAAATCTAGGCTAATAACCGGAATAAGAATGCATAATGTTTTCAAAACTCGATATCATGGTTAGTAGAGCCCGATCTTTGATCGGGCGAGCAGGGGTGCTCCCGAAGTGACCTTCCCCAATCGTACCCAAGTTCCCGAGCCGAGGCAACTTTGGTGATGACGAACACATGGCCTTCGGCACAAGTCAGGGTTTCCTAAATTTCCCCAAAATAAAATATTTAGGTGACAACTCTGTATCTGGCATAGTAGTCCATATTTGATACTTCTTTCTAAAAATCTATTTTCCAAAACGATTTGCCAGATTTGGACTCTTTGATGATTCATTGGTCTTGCATTGCACTCTGCGAGATTAGATACAGGACCGTGACATTGAGTCATGAACTGTAGTGAGCCCAACGAACAAAACGGGATTTCCCTCCCGGGACGTTCGGGGACGTCTACAACCTGCAATGTGATTCTCATTTTGCAAGTTTCCCTTGTAATGATACGGTTTCCTTTGCAACATTTTATCAAAATTCTGCAACAGTTTATCAAAATTCTACAAAAAATTCTGCGAAAAATTTTGCAAACAGAGATACTGCAACTTGAACAAAAAAATGAGCAACATTTTAACTCTATTTCAACAAATTTTCAGCAACAATTTCAGCAACATTGCATCAACTGTTCAACAACATTTCCGCATTATTCAAGCAACATTTGAACCCAAATTTGAGCAAGATTTCAACCAAAGTTTCAGCAACATTTGAACAGAAATTTCAACAAAAATTAAGCAAAAATTAATCAAAATTTCATCAACATTTGAACAGAAATTTTAGCAAAATTTAAGCAACAATTGAACCCAAATTTCAGCAACATTTTAGGGATGGTATCAGCAAATTTTTAGCAACAGTTTCATGAAAGGTTTTCAATATTACATACCCAACAAAAAATTCACAAAAAATCGCAAAACAAAATAACGCTAAGATGTTGACGTGTGATCCACATCCCCATGCCCACGGCCACGGCCACGACCACAACCATAGTACCTACAAAAAAAATAAAATAATATTACATCAAATGAACCATAAAATAAAATGGAACTTTAAATGAATGAATGACAAAATAAAACAGAAAAGGTGAAAAATAAATTACTTCACTACATGCGGGACTATTTGAAGCTTGCAAGTGATAACTACTTGCATTGTTAAGCAATGCTTGATAGGTTCCATGGACGGAATACATCGATGGCATTGAAAAATGCATATTGTGATGAAGAAAACTTGGCTACAACAATAACAAACACATATCAATTTAAAATGATAATAGTCACCTAGAAATCCCTACTAAAACTTTTTATTAAACTAACTTACATCATAGGCGGGATACATAAATTGAGACGAAGAAGCTCTAACTTGAGGAACACTCGGCGAGAATGAAGGAAGTTGAGGAGCACTTGAAAATAAAGGAGCCGACTGAGGAAATAAGGGAGGTGCTTTAGGAGCACTTGCCGAAAATAAAGGAGGAGTTTAAGGAGTAACAAACATGGAAGTTTGAGAAGCATTATGTGAACTTGTTTTATTTTTGTTTGCCAACGCAAGCTCCAAACCACCTTTTGTCCACCTTCGTCCCTTGCTAGTGCACTCTCTTCTCTTGAGTCCTTTTGCTTGAACTACATTTTTATCCGCTACACTATCCACTTCAAAGCTTTCGGGGCATGTGTTGGGAGGGCTTTCTTGTTGAATAGTATCTGAACAAGGCATATTGAATTTTGCGCTTAACATGGTTTCAATGTCTGCAATTAATTCATCCGCTTTCTCGACCGTCAAATTATATGTTTCCTCACTTTCAAAAGCTCTACACGCTACTGATCTGAATATTGCCATCAATGACCTATAACGTGAAGCTTGATGCAATCTTACATCAACCTGAATATCATGCCCACATCTGTCTTTCACATTTTCAGATCTTGCTTTTTTAGTCCATCTCTTCAGAATATATTGTGAAGGAATCTCTTTGAATTTGAGTCTTTCTCTAAGGATCTTCAAGCAATGACTACACAAAATGCCCTTCATTTCAAACTTCCTACAATTGCAAGTGACTGAATCATCACATTCCTGCCTCACATTCCTCACCTTTATACCATCACTGTCAAGAACCGTATAAACGGTACTCTCACCATCATTTTCAATTTCTTCAATGTTTACTTCAAGGGACTTGACATACTCATCCTGAAATTCTTCAAAAATTTTATTTGTGTAAACATCGGCAGCTTGCTCCGTAATCTTCACTTTAATATTCACCCTTGGCAACTTTTGGCATAGAGTATATTCGGCTTGTAACTCTTTGTACCTCTTCTCAGACAGAACTCGATCAAAATGCATGAAAAATTGCATTAAGTTATGATTAGACTGAATGAAATCCTTCAAGAAAGCATTAAAGGATTCACTAAGTTGGGTGCTACTCATGCCCGCACCCCATGCATTTCTAACATATGGCCAACCCCATTTTTCCTTGACCCCAAATGTTAACTTCAGCCCATGGTTATCTCTTACTTCATACTTGTCAAGCATTTCCTCCCATTTTAACGTAAACTCTTCCTCATCCTCAATGTTATACATAAACGTGGATAAAACACTCTTCATCCGCTTATCCTTCATTTCCTTACCCTTGAAGATAGAATTTGCATGCCTTAATGCATTTTGCATCAAATGCCAAGTGCAAAGGCGGTGGGTTGTGTTAGGCACGACAATAGGTATGGCGTTAGCCATTGCAGCATCCTGATCCATAAAAATTATTTTTGGAGCCTTACTTGACATTGTCTCCAAGAATCTTGTAAAAATCCATACAAAAGAATCAGAGGTCTCATCATACATCAAAGCTGCACCAAATATCACAATTTCCCTATGATGGTTAAATCTAACAAAAGACACAAATGGTCTATGTGCACTATTTAACTTGTAAGTAGTGTCGAAAGTCACAACATCACCCAATTGCCCATAATCCATGATCATCTGAGCATCGGTCCAAAATATGTTTGTAATCTGCTTCTCGTTATCTAATTGGACCGAGTAAAAAAAAGATAGATTCTCCAATGATTTGTCACGAAAATATTGCAAAATGCTACCTGCCTCCCCATAATGCTAAACTGTTTTGCCTCTTCATTCTCAAATAATTTTTTTGGTCCAGTTTTGTGAACCCAAGTGACTCCCTTCCACCAACTTCATTACTCATGAGCTCAAATGCAGCATTAAGACAGATTCCAGATTTTTCGGCTAAATCTATTTCGATTGCCTGTGATGCAGATATCTTCCTTTAGGATGGTAACATATGCGTACATTCTGTTGGTACAAAGATATGATTATGTGGTTCAACAAAATCACTAACAAAATTTTTTTGCATATTTCTATCCCACTTAATGAGAAGTTGGGCTTGACAACCAGTCCTCACTTCATGCCTAGGATTTTTTGTTAATGGACCTCGCTTGTCGACAACCTAAAATCCCTCCTTATTACAAACAAATTGCCTTGAAGTGATTTGCCCCTCTTTGCTCTTGTTTACATAACCCCTTCTAATACTAAAGCCCAACCTTCCTCCATAAGTATTATAGAAATCATATGCTTCTTGTTCTGTATCAAATGTCATGCGAACTCTAGGCTGCCAATCACGCTCACCCCCATTATTCTCATGATTGTTAGGTTCCATATCAATGTGCCAAGTCACTTAAAAAATAAAGAAGTGCTCAATCTTAGCAAAAAAAACTGTAAATTATGTTTGCAAAATAATACAAACTGAATAAGATAATCAACGAATAACAGAAATTAGATAATCAAGGCAAACAAAAAAAAAAGTAGAAATTAACAACAACCAAATGCCAAGTGCAATATGCTATCTTTGTGGTTAGAGTTCCAGTAATAAACTTTATTTCAGGAGGGTCAAACTTTATATTCATATTTTTCAAATGATTCTCAACAATGAAGTCAATCAAGCCTTCAAAAGACACCGCCACTCAATTTCTATTTAAATTGGACAAAAAGTCTAATAAGCATTATCTGTGGACTCCACTTTGAAACGAAATGCCATTTGTAGTAACAAGACAATTTAACAGCTACAAGCCCATAAACATCATTTAACAAGTCAATATGAATTATCAACACATTTAAACATCACATATTAATCATTTCACCAACTCAAATTTTCATGTTGTTACGTGTTGTGCATCAATATGAAATAAGATAGGTTTAGTTATATAAAAATAAAAATAAAAATAAAAAAACTAGAGATATATCAGTTATAATTTATATGAATGGAAACATAGCTGATGGTCTAAGCTAGCTCTGATTGATAATGTGAAATGCAGAAAATATAAAATTAGAAGCAGTTGTCATGACTGTTAATGCCAGAATTTGGGACATGTGCAAGACTCAACCAGGATTTCTAAACCTGATGAGATGAACTAAAAGAGGTAAGTCAATACCTAAAAATCAATGACCCAGAATATAGTCAAGGGAATTCATTCCAGTTTCAAAACTTGTTAATCTTACTCTTGATTCAAATTCCATTTTATTTGACAATCATTTGAACATGTTGATAGTGTTTCCAACTATAAAATTTCAGTAAAAAATTCATCTTTTCCCAACAAAACATAAACTTTAATATATCCCCCATTTTTTTTTAAGGTTGCCTATAATGTGTATATATATATAATGTATAATGTATAATGTATATATATATCTATTATCATAGGGATTGAGCAATATTCAGCACAACACAGATGAGGCAAAAAAAAATTGTGTGGTTGAAAATTCTATATTTCAGGAAGATTCACAATATATATCTATTATTCAAGGCTGTATAATGTATATATATATATATAATATAATCACCTATATTTTCTTTAATCGATTGGAGCAGGGGCGACGGCCACGACAGTGGCAAGACAGTGGCGACAGCAGGACGGCGGCGACGGCGACGGTGGGGCGACGGGATGCTCTTCGCGACGGCTAACTCTTCTTCGCTCTCTCGTTCTTTCTTTGCTTCTTCCCACCGTCTGTATAGCTCTTCGCGTTCTTCAGCCATATGGGGGGAATTTTGAAATCCCTGAATCTGATTTTTTTTTTTTTTTTTCAAAATACTCACCAAAATGACGTCTTTTTGGTGAGTTTTATTCTCAGCCGTCGGATTAAGTACTTTCGGAGATCACTCTAGAGGATTAAATCTAGAGGATCCTTGCGCCATTTTCAAACCCTTCGAAGCTCTACAACTGCTTTATTTGTCCCCTTCGGCAAGTTCCTCGTTGTTTGTTTCCAGTCATCACTGTCGTTTGACTTCGGCAAACCTCACTTCTGTTTCTTCGACTTCAATCAATAAGTCCCTAATTACTTCCTTCTATTTTCAATTCTTTACTGCTTCATTTATCCCCTATGTTTTTTAAGGTTGCATATAATGTGTATATATATATAATGTATAATGTATAATGTATATATATATATATCTATTATCACAGGGATTGAGCAATATTCAGCACAACACAGATGAGGCAAAAAAAAATTGTGTGGTTGAAAATTCTATATTTCAGGAAGATTCACAATATATATCTATTATTCAAGGCTGTATAATGTATATATATATATATAATATAATCACCTATATTTTCTTTAATCGATTGGAGCAGGGGCGACGGCCACGGCAGCGGCAAGACAGTGGCGACAGCAGGACGGCGGCGACGGCGACGGTGGGGCGACGGGATGCTCTTCGCGACGGCCAACTCTTCTTCGCTCTCTCGTTCTTTCTTTGCTTCTTCCCACCGTCTGTATAGCTCTTCGCGTTCTTCAGCCATATGGGGGGAATTTTGAAATCCCTGAATCTGATTTTTTTTTTTTTTTTTCAAAATACTCACCAAAATGACGTCTTTTTGGTGAGTTTTATTCTCAGCCGTCGGATTAAGTACTTTCGGAGATCACTCTAGAGGATTAACTCTAGAGGATCCTTGCGCCATTTTCAAACCCTTCGAAGCTCTACAACTGCTTCATTTGTCCCCTTCGGCAAGTTCCTCGTTGTTTGTTTCCAGTCATCACTGTCGTTTGACTTCGGCAAACCTCACTTCTGTTTCTTCGACTTCAATCAATAAGTCCCTAATTACTTCCTTCTATTTTCAATTCTTTACTGCTTCATTTATCCCCTATGTTTTTTAAGGTTGCATATAATGTGTATATATATATAATGTATGATGTGTATATATATATCTATTATCACAGGGATTGAGCAATATTCAGCACAACACAGATGAGGCAAAAAAAAATTGTGTGGTTGAAATTTCTATATTTTAGCAAGATTCAGCAATATATATCTATTATTCAAGGCTGTATAATGTATATATATATATATATATAATCACCTATATTTTCTTCAATCAGTTGGAGCAGGGGCAACGGCCACGGCAGCGGCAGGACGGCGGCGACAGCGGGCGACGGCGACGATGGGGCGACGGGATGCTCTTCGCGACGGCCAACTCTTCTTCGCTCTCTCGTTCTTTCTTTGCTTCTTCCCACCGTCTGTATAGCTCTTCGCGTTCTTCAACCATATGGGGGGAATTTTGAAATCCCTGAATCTGATTTTTTTTTTTTTTTTTCAAAATACTCACCAAAATGACGTCTTTTTGGTGAGTTTTATTCTCAGCCGTCGGATTAAGTACTTTAGGAGATCACTCAAGAGGATTAACTCTAGAGGATCCTTGTGCCATTTTCAAACCCTTTGAAGCTCTACAACTGCTTCATTTGTCCCCTTCGGCGAGTTCCTCGTTGTTTGTTTCCAATCATCACTGTCGTTTGACTTCGGCGAACCTCATTTCCGTTTCTTCGACTTCAATCAATAAGTCCCTAATTACTTCCTTCTATTTTCAATTTTTTACTGTTCTCTTAATATGTTTCTTTTTCAAATTTGCCACATGTCTACACTGTATCTGTAGCCATTGAATCTATATTCATAGTTGGACTCTGTTTTTCTTCATTTTTCATGTTTAGGACATTATGAATCAATTTTTGTTCTTGGATCTGTTTTGTGCTTCGAAGTTCGTCATTGTATTTCTAGAGTGTCAATTGTATTGCTTGTGGTTATTGCACATTTGCACACACCTACTCAATGTTCATGAATTTTGTTATTCTATGTATGCAAATCTGTTTTCTTGTTCTCCGTTTCTTTTTCGTGATTCTGAACCATACTCCCCTTTGTTTGCTTTGAGCATTTTCTAGATTCTTGCCTTCGATTCTTGTTTCTGTAGTCCTAGGCTTGGGATTTTCTTAGAACCTTGTTCTTTAGGAAAACTAAAACAAGAACCCTATCCAGGCCACCAAAAACCCTTCCTTAGTTGTTAGCCAAGATCTTTAAACCATTACTAAGCCTCTCACCAAAAATCTGTTATCGAACCTCCCCTAGTCAAGATAATGGGCATGTTCAGGTGGAGGGTGAATACCCTGACCAAACTAGAATACTTTCACTAGGAATTCTCCATCCCAGCCGATGTCCACCTTAGGATGGTGGGCAAGGAGGACTCCATAATGCCTGGAAAGGATTACATGCCTTTCCCAATAGTTTCTATCATTGAGGGCAAAATCAAGTTCCCCGTTGACATCCTCTTTAGGGAGGTCCTCCATTTCTACAAGCTCAATCCCATGCAACTAGCCGAGAACACCTTTAGGGTCATCAATGGCATTGTCGAGTTGGTACGTTGGCAAAACACCAAAATAACCCTGTCTGAGATCTAGTACTGCTACACCATGTGTGGCCTTAAGACCAAAAATGGTTATACATACTACCTCAAGCCTAGAACCACTATGTTCAAGTTAATAGCCGACATTCTAGACTCCAATAAGGGCACGGGAGATGTCTATTTGATTGTCTCAAGACTTTGCACCAGACGATAAGCTCCACATTTTCCCATTGCACCGTGGAATCTTTAGGAATGATATGAGTAATGACTATAGTCTGCCAAAGCCCTTTTCTATTCCAC